CCTCCTTGGGTAGCTGCAAGAACTGTCAAAAATGGCAGGGTGGCAATAAGGCAGGGGGGGTGCATTTTCCTTTCCCTTAAAAAAACACTTGACCAGGAAAGGCTGTGGGGGCCCGACAATTAAACCCCAAAATTGTTTAGAAAATGTGCAGACGAGCAGCAGCCCCTCTAACTCGAAACTTTCGCATGCCTTTGTACAGTGCAAAAGGGGCCCCTCTCCATGGAAAAAAGGCAAAAGTAGTCCCTGTTCAAAAAAAAGAAAAAGCAGAGCAGAAAAAAACCCAAATACGGGCCAGGTCACCCCCTGTCAACATGTAAAAATCCTTGAGCAATAAACTCAAGACAAAAGAAAAGATTTTTTTTTACTACCACTCACTACTTTGTGATCGGGCAATATGGTTTTTGGGAAAGGTTACTTGTGTGACTGTTTTAAACCTCTCCCCTAATTTGGACCCCCGTCACGGGTGAATCCAAAGTCAGCTGTTTTGGGAGCACGGACATGCTGGGCTTTTGACCGGGGTGTTTTGGGACCAGGCCCCTTAGAAAAACTTCAAACATTGGGGAAATTGCCCGGCCTACGCTATGTCTCCTCAGTGATTACCTTAAAGGTAGATTTTCTAAGTGTAGTCCCCAATTTGGCGGAATCGCAAGGCAAACCTATTGGGGCAAGCGTTCCCCAAGGAAGTGGTGGGTCCACTGTTATGGAATGTTACTTTCCAAAAAGACCTTCTTTTATCTCATCCCAGAATCACATGCATATGCAGGGCGGGCTGTACATTTACATTAAATTATCCAAGAGAAGAAATGCCGGGGTTTCTCTAAACTTCATCAATTTAAACCCGCTGAGAGCTATATCAGCTTGGGGAAATAGAGGCAAATTTAAATTTGCCAAACCCAAAAAACGCAAAAAGGGTTTATCCCTTCTAGGCACCATGAAAGGGAATGCTGGGGGCGTTGTAAGGATGAAAGGGACGTTGTTGGCACCTGGAGAAGAAATTGATATCCTTGGGGTGAAATTTTTACTCCCAAAATAACCATGGGAAAAACCATGTTTAAATCTTGGGAAACAAAAGGGAGCCAGGGGAAACTTTCAGCACTCGCCGTATCTCGAAATTTCTTGAAAGTAGGGGGTTTAAAGATCCCGTAAGAGGGACAAATACGTCCCAAAACCCTTTATATGCTCCACTTTTTTGGTTTTCCGCCCCCCTTCTTGCGGGCTGCTTTTTTTACAAAAGTAGAGAACGAGCAAGACTCTCATCTCTAGCCCGGACCCATCCTGGATTTGATTGTCATTTCAGCAGAGCCTTCAAAAAATAGGAGGGATTGGGTGGCCTTACTGTTATGTACAAGGGCCAAATATTGTTAAAATTTCCCCACTTGGATCCCCTTCGAGGACAGCGTGAAAAAAGCCTTTTTTTGCCACAAAAAGGGCAGAAAGGGAGCAATTCACTCTGGCTGTACCCCTTTTTAGAACAACCCCCCATTGGATCATTTCATAAACCCCGGTTACTCGAGTATGGAACACATTGTACAGCATAAAAAAAAAGTCAACGAGATAAAGTCAGTTGTTCCCAAAAAAAATTCTGGGCCCCCAGATGGCTCCCCAAATTCTTCCCCCTTCCCTACTTGTTTGTTTTCAAAAACAATAAAAATGCTTTTTAAATGGTAAAGTAGGGAACAGCTCTTGCTTGCCAATAAAGTTAGGAAAACCTTTAAACCCGTAAATAGCTGTCAATAAAGCAAAGGGGTCCTTTAAACCTGTCAAAAACCCTGTGTAAAAAAAAAAAAAAAAAAAAAAAAAAAGGAGAGGGGGGGGGGGGAGGGGGGGGGGGAGGGGAGAGGAAAGGGGGGGGGGGGGGGGGGAGGGAGTGGGGGGGGAAGAGGGGGGGGAGGGGGGGGGGGGGGGGGAGGGGGGGGTTTGGGGGGGGGGGGGGGGGGGGGGGGGGGGGGGGAGGGGGGAAAGGGGGGGGGGGTGGGGGGGGGGGGGGCTGGGGGGGGGGGGGGAAAGGGGAGGGGGAGGGGGGGGGGGGGGGGGAGGGGATTGGGGGGGGGGGGGGGGGGGGGGGGGGGGGGGGGGGGGGGGGTGGGGAAGGGGGAGTGGGGAAAAGGGAGTGGGGGGGGTGTGGTGTCTTGGGGGGTGGGGGGGGGTGGGGGTGGGGGGTTTGTGGGGTTTTGGGGGTGGGGTTTTTTTGTTTGCCCGGGTTGGGGAACCGGGGTTTTTGGGGGTAGGGACGACAACGGGTGCCCCCCGGGGTTTACGGGTTGGGTGGTTTAAAAAGGGTTTGGGGTTGTTTGTTCCTTATTCTTTTGGTTTTCGGGGCCCAACTTGGGTCCCCCAGGCGTGGGGGGTTGGGTTTAAAAACTTTGGGATAAAAATCCCCGGGGTTTCCCCCTTTGGGAAAACATTTTTTTCTCTGTGGGCTTTCGTTTCACAATAAAAACCAACGGCTAGTGTTTTCCCAAAAAGTTGGGGGAAAGGGGGTGGGGGAAATTTTGGGGGTGTATGTGGATTTTGGGGGGGTCCCTTTTGTGGGGGGGTTTTTTTTGGGATCTTAAGACCCTGGGTTCGGGTGCCTGGGGGCCGGGGGTTTTTTTTGGAAAATTCATTGGTCTTTTGGGACGGTGCCCGGGCGAGGGGGTCCTTGTTTCCCTTTTCGCAAAAAAAAACCCGGAAAATGGGGAAAGGCCCCAAAAAAAAGCAAGGAGAAATTAAAAATAACCCACCTTTGGGGGATATAATCCAAAATCTCCTAATTAAAACCAAAAAATGGAGAAAAGGGAGAAAAAAAGGATGGATTCCCCAAAAAACCCCATAAACACCAAACTTCAAATTTCCCCAAAAATCACCAGGGAAAATTTCCCCGCAAAAAAAAAAAACAAACAAAAAACTATTGCAAACAATTTTTCCCAAGAGTGAAAAAAGGGAAAGGGGAAGAAGGAAAGGGGGGAAGGGGGACTAGGCTTGGGCCGGGGAAAATTTTCTGCCAAAAAAGAAAAGGGGGAACAAAGCCAGGGGGTTTCCCAAAAGGGGGACAAAACAAAGGGCACTTTAAACGATAGGGGTACGCAACAGATCAGAGAATATTGACGAAGGCAACAACAAGTCATGGTGAACATTAAAATGGTATAAAATACCGACAGGTTGTTAGGTAAGACACATATGCAACAGTTAGGTATCTTTATTGTGAAACGTTTCGCCTACACAGTAGGCTTCTTCAGTCAAGTACAGGAAAGGTTGATAGAAGCAGAAGATACTTGAAGACGATGTAATCAGTCCATCACCCTTAAAGTTTTGAGGTGGTCAGTCCCTCAGTCTGGAGAAGAGCATTGTTCCATACTGTGTAGGCGAAACGTTTCACAATAAAGATACCTAACTGTTGCATATGTGTCTTACCTAACAACAAGTCATGGTACATGATGAGGTGTCAGAGTGGGTGCCTGTGATGAGCAGAGTTCCACAGGGGTCAGTCCTAGGACCTGTGCTGTTTTTGGTATACATGAATGACATAACGGAAAGAATAGACTCAGAAGTGTCCTTGTTCACAGATGAGATGTGAAGTTAATGAGAATAATTACATCGGTCGAGGATCAGGCAAGACTACAAAGATACCTGGACAGGCTACAAGCCTGGTCCAGCAACTAGCTCCTTGAATTTAACCCTGCCAAATGCAAAGTCATGAAGATCGGGGAAGGGCAAAGAAGACAGCAGACGGAGTATAGTCTAGGTGGCCAAACACTGCATACCTCACTCAAGGAAAAAGATCTTGGGGTGAGTATAATACCGAGCACATCTCCTGAGGCGCACATCAATCACATAACTGCTGCAGCATATGGGCATCTGGCAAACCTAAGGATAGCATTCCAATACCTCAGTAAACAATCGTTTAAGACTCTCTATACCACATACATCAGGCCCATACTGGAGTATGAAGCACCAGTTTGGAATCCACACTTGGTCAAGCACGTCAAGAAATTAGAGAAAGTGCAAAGGTTTGCAACAAGACTAGTCTCAGAGCTAGGGGGATTGTCCTACGATGAAAGGTTAAGGGAAATTGGCCTGACGACACTGAAGGACAGGAGGGTCAGGGGAGACATAACACACAAAATACTGCACAAAATAGACAAGGTGGACAAAGCCAGGATGTTCCAGAGATGGGACACAGAAACAAGGGGTCACAATTGGAAGCTGAAGACTCAGATGAGTCAAAGGGATGTTACGAAGTATTTCTTCAGCCAGAGTTGTCAGGCATTAGAATAGCCTAGAAAGTGACGTATTGGAGGCAGGAACCATACAGTTTTAATACGAGGTTTGATGAAACTCATGGAGCAGAGAAAGAGAGGACCTAGTAGCAATCAATGAAGAGGCGAGGCCAATAGCTATGAATCGACCCCAGCAATCACAAATAGGCGAGTACACACACACAAAAACAAAAACACAAAAAACACTGCTACATGCTCAAGCCTATAGAACTCAAAGCCGTCTTTATCCCAACCCCTCCTGGGATGACCGCTGCCCCTCCTCTCTTCCACCCCCAGATTTATAAACCTGGTCATCCTATTCTGCTCCATCTTTACTGAATGCTCAAGAGTACTAACTCCTCCTCAGCCCTCGTAATGAATGTCTAAATGAAAAACTTCAACTTTGTGTAAACCACAGAGATAAGAAGAGTTTCTTTCACTAAGAGAATTAAAGTGGAATGTTCTAGGAGGAAGTTGTAGTACAGACCAATTCCTTATGCAGAATAAAATTTGAACAACCCACAGACTTAGGCAATCACTACACCAATTAATGGTTAAAAAGCAAAGCTAAGGAGCTGTTTTTGCCCCCACAAATAAATAAGTACAATTTGACAGTACTGTACATTCAAGCCAGCATATGGCTGCACTTCCAGGAAACTTTACTGTCTAAGCAAAGGTCTAAATTAAATTACCTATTCAAAGTAGGGAGAGTTCACTAAAGAACGAAGGCAGTGAAGATTACTGATACACTGATAAACTAACCAATAGATGCTCATAGTCCTGGCCAAAATCTTCAGAGGTTGCAGTTTGCATCTGTTCATTTATCCACTTCTCAAGGTCCTCAGCTTCCCGAAAATATTCATGACGGTACATTGACTCCATTAGCTTCTGTCGAAGATTTGCTGATAATTTCTGCAAGTCTTTCAATTCCTGATTTAGCACCTAAAAGTAAGGAAAATATGCCAGATAAATTAGTATCCTTATTATGGTCATAATAAAATTCAAGCAATTTAAGCACTTCCTAGCATATTGAAAAATTTCACAAAATTGTACACAAAATTACATCAGCTTAGAAACATTTTACACACACTTCAACACACACACACACTTACACACACACACACCACACACACACACACACACACACACACACACACACACACACACACACACACACACACACACAATCAAAACTATTATACATTCCATCTTACCTGTTGTCTGTCCTTTATCAATTTAGATTCTGGGTGACTAGATTTTATCATTGAGTCAGCCATTGTTCCCATCTCTTTAACAATTCCACTGTATGTGTCAATTTCCAACTCCAAAGCCTGCAAAGACATTTGGAATGCAATGAAATACAATTACTTTATAAAACAGAAACCATTTTTATTTCTTTCTTAACCTGCCAGTCATCTCCCACTGAAGTAGGGTGACAAAAAACAAAGAAATAATTGCTATCAAGCATTCAACAGCTGTCCTGCTAAAAGTGCAGACATAACAATTCAAATGACCCATCCAAACTCCAAAATTGTTTCATAAACGTTAGTTTGTTCACATTCCAACAGTGTGAAGTCATAAAAAGTTTAACAACCTTTTCATAGTGCAAGTAAGACCGCTGCCAGTGACACACAAGGTAACTTGACAAACGGGAATTATGCTTAAACGTTTATACCCTCAATTCATATCAGGTAACGAAGACTATCTTTTTTGCTGTTCCACTGACAAATAGCCACGTAGTATTTCGTTCTTTGTCAGGTCATGAATATAAATTGTACACATTGGTTAAAGCACTGAGTCTTACTGCCTCCTGCTAGTGATATTACTCAATCACTATTTTCCTATTCACGAGACTCAGTCTACAGCAATAATTCTTTAAAACCATAAGATTACTAACAAATCACAGAACAAGTAGGGTGTCGTGAGGGTTTGAACTGATGGATTTGGGAATACACACACACACACGATGGAAGTCTTGGTAACGTATATTAAGATGGTAAATAAATACAGTGAATACAGGAAAGAGTAAGGTTATGAGGATAACAAAAAGATTAGGTGATGAAAGATTGAATATCAGATTGGAGGGAGAGAGTATGGAGGAGGTGAATGTTTTCAGATATTTGGGAGTGGACGTGTCAGCGGATGGGTCTATGAAAGATGAGGTGAATCATAGAATTGATGAGGGAAAAAGAGTGAGTGGTGCACTTAGGAGTCTGTGGAGACAAAGAACTTTGTCCTTGGAGGCAAGGAGGGGAATGTATGAGAGTATAGTTTTACCAACGCTCTTATATGGGTGTGAAGCATGGGTGATGAATGTTGCAGCGAGGAGAAGGCTGGAGGCAGTGGAGATGTCATGTCTGAGGGCAATGTGTGGTGTGAATATAATGCAGAGAATTCGTAGTTTTTGGAAGTTAGGAGGAGGTGCGGGATTACCAAAACTGTTGTCCAGAGGGCTGAGGAAGGGTTGTTGAGGTGGTTCGGACATGTAGAGAGAATGGAGCGAAACAGAATGACTTCATGAGTGTATCAGTCTGTAGTGGAAGGAAGGCGGGGTAGGGGTCGGCCTAGGAAAGGTTGAGGGGAGGGGGTAAAGGAGGTTTTGTGTGCGAGGGGCTTGGACTTCCAGCAGGTATGCATGAGCGTGTTTGATAGGAGTGAATGGAGACAAAAGGTTTTTAATACTTGACGTGCTGTTGGAGTGTGAGCAAAGTAATATTTATGAAGGGGTTCAGGGAAACCGGCAGGCCGGACTTGAGTCATGGAGATGGGAAGTACAGTGCCTGCACTCTGAAGGAGGGGTGTTAATGTTGCAGTTTAAAAACTGTAGTGTAAAGCACCCTTCTGGCAAGACAGTGATGGAGTGAATGATGGTGAAAGTTTTTCTTTTTCGGGCCACCCTGCCTTGGTGGGAATCGGCCAGTGTGATAATAAAAAAAAAAAAAAAAAAATAAGGGGACAACACTCAGAGCCTTCGCCTGTCCTGTCGACTCACCTATGCCTTGTCTTGAACTGCCCTGCTCAGTGCCTAGAGGGCATGGTATTCAAAGAGCTCATGACATCATCCTGGGTCAACAGTGAGTCACATAACAGTCAGCGATTCATGTAGGGAGGTGGTGAATCAGTAACGGTTACTGGTATGAGTGGTACGAGTACACAGTACTGACCGCTCAGCGACACTTATGTATGGTGTCCCAACATACAGCTAATACAAAGTAGAGGCTACAGGCGGACAGCTCTGGGCTGATTCTATACAACGTCAAAGGACACAAAAGTTGAACATTATAACTATACATAAGGATATTACTGGAATAGATGTTAATGTAATGCATTACATTTATATCACAATTCATTGGAACTGATAGAATTTATGGTGGGATTATACAATTTTGAAAAGAATAATGTGGTCAATCGATCTGTATTCATGTAATATATGGATTGTGAGGATGTATGTATATGTACAAAGAAGGAGTGTTCAACAGAAACGGCCGACTTTTAACCCTAACTCTGCTAGGGTGAGATTTACATATGCAGAATGGTTATCTCTGGGGGGATCAAACTGTGTTGCAATGGCTAACTCATACTGTGGTTGAGGATCTAAATTGGAATTTACAAATGATACATGAGAATTTCTCAACACTTGTCTTGTATGGAGGGAATAATGACATTCAAGTTGATCGTTTGATTGTTAGTGGTAGAAGGTACAGAGTCAGGAGGATTGTTACCTGGAGTTTACCTGGAGATATTTCCGGGGGTCAACGCCCCCCGCAGCCCAGTCTGTGACCAGGCCTCCTGGTGGATCAGAGCCTGATCAACCAGGCTGTTACTGCTGGCTGCACGCAAACCAACATACGAGCCACAGCCCGGCTGATCAGGAACCGACTTTAGGTGCTAGTCCAGTGCCAGCTTGAAGACTACCAGGGGTCTGTTGGTAATCCCCCTCATGTATGCTGGGAGGCAGTTGAACAGTCTCGGACCCCTGACACTTATTGTATGGTCTCTTAACGTGCTAGTGACACCCCTGCTTTTCATTGGGGGATGTTGCATCGTCTGCCAAGTCTTTTGCTTTCGTAGTGAGTGATTTTCGTGTGCAAGTTCGGTACTAGTCCCTCTAGGATTTTCCAGGTGTATATAATCATGTATCTCTCCCACCTGCGTTCCAGGGAATACAGGTTCAGGAACCTCAAGCGCTCCCAGTAATTGAGGTGTTTTATCTCCGTTATGCGTGCCGTGAAGGTTCTCTGTACATTTTCTAGGTCAGCAATTTCACCTGCCTTGAAAGATGCTGTTAGTGTGCAGCAATATTCCAGCCTAGATAGAACAAGTGACCTGAAGAGTGTCATCATGGGCTTGGCATCCCTCGTTTTGAAGGTTCTCATTATCCATCCTGTCATTTTTCTAGCAGATGCGATCGGTACAATGTTATGGTCCTTGAAGGCGAGATCCTCCGACATGATCACTCCCAGGTCTTTGACGTTGGTGTTTCGCTCTATTTTGTGGCCAGAATTTGTTTTGTACTCTGATGAAGATTTAATTTCCTCGTGTTTACCATATCTGAGTAATTGAAATTTCTCATCGTTGAACTTCATATTGTTTTCTGCAGCCCACTGAAAGATTTGGTTGATGTCCGCCTGGAGCCTTGCAGTGTCTGCAATGGAAGACACTGTCATGCAGATTCGGGTGTCATCTGCAAATGAAGACAGTGCTGTGGCTGACATCCTTATCTATATCACATATGAGGATGAGGAACAAGATGGGAGCGAGTACTGTGCCTTGTGGAACAGAGCTTTTCACCGTGCCTGCCTGGGACTTTACTCTGTTGACTACTACTCTCTGTGTTCTGTTAGTGAGGAAATTATAGATCCATCGACCGACTTTTCCTGTTATTCCTTTAGCACGCATTTTGTGCGCTATTACGCCATGGTCACACTTGTCAAAGGCTTTTGCAAAGTCTGTATATATTACATCTGCATTCTTTTTGTCTTCTAGTGCATCTAGGACCTTGTCGTAGTGATCCAATAGTTGAGACAGACAGGAGCGACCTGTTCTAAACCCATGTTGCCCTGGGTTGTGTAACTGATGGGTTTCTAGATGGGTGGTGATCTTGCTTCTTAGGACTCTTTTTCAAAGATTTTTATGATATGGGATGTTAGTGCTATCGGTCTGTAGTTCTTTGCTGTTGCTTTACTGCCCCCTTTGTGGAGTGGGGCTATGTCTGTTGCTTTTAGTAACTGTGGGACGACCCCTGTGTCCATGCTCCCTCTCCATAGGATGGTAAAGGCTCGTGATAGGGGCTTCTTGCAGTTCTTGATGAACACGGAGTTCCATGAGTCTGGCCCTGGGGCAGAGTGCATGGGCATGTCATTTATCGCCTGTTCAAAGTCATTTGGCGACAGGATAACATCAGATAAGCTTGTGTTAACCAAATTCTGTGGCTCTCATAAAAAATTCATTTTGATCTTCGACTCTCAGTCTGATTAGTGGCTTGCTAAAAACTGAGTCATATTGGGACTTGAGTAGCTCACTCATTTCCTTGCTGTCATCTGTGTAGGACCCATCTTGTTTAAGTAGGGGCCCAATACTGGACGTTGTTTTCGACTTTGATTTGGCGTAGGAGAAGAAATACTTTGGGTTTCTTTCGATTTCATTTATGGCTTTTAGTTCTTCCCGCGATTCCTGACTCCTATAAGATTCCTTTAGCTTAAGTTCGATGTTTGCTATTTCTCTGACCAGTGTCTCCCTACGCATTTCAGATAGATTGACCTCTTTTAGCCGCTCTGTTATTCTTTTCCGTCGCCTGTAAAGAGAGCGCCTGTCTCTTTCTATTTTACATCTACTCCTCCTTTTTCTTAGAGGAATAAGTCTTGTGCATACATCGAGTGCCACCAAGTTAATCTGTTCTAGGCATAAGTTGGGGTCTGTGTTGCTTAGTATATCTTCCCAGCTTATATCGGTTAGGACTTGGTTTACTTGGTCCCACTTTATGTTTTTGTTATTGAAGTTGAATTTGGTGAATGCTCCCTCGTGACTAATCTCATTTTGTCGGTCTGGGGCTCTGCGCATACATGTCTGAACCTCAATTATGTTGTGATCTGAGTATATTGTTTTTGATATGGTGACATTTCTTATCAGATCATCATTGTTAGTAAAGATGAGGTCTAGTGTATTCTCCATTCTAGTAGGCTCTATTATTTGCTGGTTTAAATTGAATTTTGTGCAGAGATTTAAAAGCTCGTGTGAGTGTGAGTTTTCATCAGAGCTGCCTCCTGGTGTTATTACTGCAACAATATTATTTGCTATATTCCTCCATTTTAGGTGCCTTAAGTTGAAATCC